ATCCCATCACCTGGGCGAGGAGTCAGGAAGCTTGGGTTCAACTTTGGGGATCTTTGCTTGGGCATCTGTATAATACGGGCCGGGGAGAGGCGGCTGCTAAGGCCAGGCCTAGCCTTCGGCTCTTGCTGTGCCAAGGGCCCTCCAGCCCTGATGCAGGGCCCCCTTCCCTCCCCCCAGCTGGAGAAAGAAGAGCAGATCCATGGCATCGACATCGGGAATGAGGGCTCTGCCTTTGTGGAGGTGCTGGCGGGCAGCTCGGCACATGGCAGCGGAGGGCAGGACTATGAGGTGAGGCTGCCAGCCCGGAGGCGCTGTTGTCCCTGAGTCCCACACAGGAGGACCATTCCCCCGCTGCCCGATGGGCTTTATCTCTAATGTGCCGTGAGGTCAGAGCTGCCTCTGTGTGTCTGTGTCTGTGTGCGTATGTTTGTGTGTGTGTGTGTCTATGTTTGTGTGTATCTGTGTGTGGGGGGGGTGTCTGTGTGTGTCTGCGTGTGTGTGTGTCTGTGTGTGTGTGTGTCTGTGTCTGTGTGCGTATGTTTGTGTGTGTGTGTGTCTATGTTTGTGTGTATCTGTGTGTGTGGGGGGGTGTCTGTGTCTGTGTGTGTCTGCGTGTGTGTGTGTCTGTCTGTGTCTGTGTGTGTATGTTTGTGTTTGTGTGTGTGTGTGTGTCTATGTGTGTGTCTGTGTCTGTGCGTGTATGTCTGTGTTTGTGTTTGTGTGTGTGTGTGTCTATGTTTGTGTGTGTCTGTGTCTGTGTGTGTCTGCGTGTGTGTGTGTGTCTGCGTGTGTGTGTCTGTGTGTGTCTGTGTCTGTGTGTGTTCTGTTCCAGGTCCTCCTCGTCACCTCTTCATTCATGTCCCCATCTGAGAGCCGCAGTGGGACCAACTCAAACCGGGTCCGGCTCTTCGCTGCTGACAAACTGGTGCGGGCCACGGCTGACAAACGCTGGGACCAGATCAAGATCGTGTGCAGCCAGCCCTACACGAAGGTCAGAGCTGAGCTCCCGGACACCAGGGCATGAGGGATGAGAACCTAGGGTTTCTGGGGAGGTGAGGGGAAAGGCCCGGAGGGTGGTACAAGGGCTCCCAGCAGGGCTGTACCCAAGTCCCCAGGATGGAGCGGGTGAGCCTCCAACCTCTCTCCTCTCTCCGGCCCCCAGGACTCTCCCTATGGCCTGAGTTTTATAAGGTTGCACAGCCCACCCGACAAGGAGGAGCAAGGGGCTACGTCCTCTCCGGTGAGTGAACTCCACCTCTCTCTCTCTCTCTCTTCTGCCTCGGGCCATGGGGTGCCCCCTCCCCCTAAACTTGCTTCTTTGCAGAAGGTGACCAAGTTGGGAGCCTTTCGAGTAAAGGAGGATGATGGGACCAGCAGCTCCCTGAGACCTGGGGCCCTCTTCTTCAATCGGGTCAGCAAGGCTTCTCCAGGTGAAATAGGACTAGGGCCTGGAGAGAGACACCTGCCTGGGGCTCTTTAGGGCTCTGGGACCCAAGATCCTGGTTGCTCAAGGTGGAGTTGGGGGCTGGGGCAAGAGATGGGACATCTCTAAGCGGGTGGGACCTGGACTCGGGAGTCCCTGAGCTGGTGGGGCTGGGCACCTGAAGCCTGGCTGGGGCTGGGGGCCCGGACACGCAGCCTCCTGGGGGAGGCGGAGGCTGAGTCCATGGAAGCCCTGAGGCTGGAGCACCAAGATTCCTGAGTCCTAGGGGGCTCGGGGCCCAGGGACAAGTCAGGTTCCAGGGCAGGTCCTGGAAACTTTGTCTCCTCTACAGCCCCCGCCAAAGAGCAGCCAGGCCCCAGTTATGCAGCAGCCACACTGCAGGCCTCCCAGGGCTTGGCTACCCAGTCTCCTCCTCGAATATCTCCCCCCCAACCCCCATCCTCAAGCAGAGCTCCCAGCAAGGTGAGGCCTTTGGGCCGAGCAGGGGGATCAGGAGATGGGCCTTGTCTCCCCACATGGCTCACTGGCTGGGACACGGGCTTGGACTGGAGTTGGAGGAGGAGGGGGATTTGGATAAAGAGCCATTACCCCCAGACACACAGTGTGTCCACATACATACACCCTCTCGCCAGCCCCAAGAGTCTCCTAAGGGCAAGAGGAAATTGGATTTAAGTCACGATGAACCAGGAAGCCCCCGGAGACCCCAGGCCCATGCAGCCCACCCTAAGCTACCAGCCCTCAAGAAGCCCAAAGGTGAGGCAGATAGAGGGGGCCAGGGCAGGGTCCTTGCTCCCAGGACCCAGAGTCATAGATTTCTGTCTCTTTCAGTGCCCACTGCGAGCCCTGCCCCTGCCCAGTACCCTCCACAAGCTGAAAAGAAAGGGGCCAAAGCCAGGGCCGGAGCTGGGCCTGTCCAGCTGGGGAAGGTCCTGGAGGGCGTGGTCGTGGTGCTGAGTGGCTTCCAGAACCCCTTCCGCTCGGAGCTTCGAGACAAGGCCCTTGAGCTTGGCGCCAAGTATCGGCCGGACTGGACCTCGGACAGCACCCACCTCATGTAGGCCGCTCCCCCCGCCCCCGTCTCCCTCCTGCTCGCTCCAGGGGAGCCCAAGCATCTCCCTGACCTCTGACCTTCGCCCTCAGCTGTGCCTTCGCCAACACACCCAAGTACAGTGCAGTCCTGAGCCGGGGCGGACGCATAGTGCGCAAAGAGTGGGTGCTGGACTGTCACCGCATGTGGCGGAGGCTGCCCTGTCGACGGTGAGGACCCTCTCAGGGAAGGGGGCTGTGGGTTCTCTTGGCGACAGGCCTCGGGGGACTTGATGGCGAGGTGGGGGCAGGTGCCTCTCTGACCTCTGATAGCCTCTGCTTCTGTCTGCCCACCTGCGCCCCTCCCCAGGTACCTCATGGCAGGTCCGGACTCTAGCAGTGACGAGGAGACATCCCCTCCCACCACAAAGGTAAGGTTCATCAGAGGACTGAGATGACCCAGCCAACAGCTCTGCCCTTCCCTCGCCTCCTCCTGCTCCTCCCTTAGAGGCCAGAGCACATGCAGAGAAAGAGGGTGGAAGCCAGGCCAGATGAGGAGCAGCTGTAGGGGATGGGGGGGGCGGTGTTTAGCCTGGGGGCGGGGAGAGAGGGAAATAAAGGGGGAGGGGAGGAGGGAGAGGTGGAGGGAGAGAAGGAAAGAAAGGAGATGGGGAGGAGGGAGAGGTGGAAGGAAGAGGGAGGGGAGGAGAGGGAAAGGTGGGAGGAAGACGAGGGGGAAGCGGTCAACATGGGAGCTCTCTTCCAGTCAGAAGAGCCACTTGAGGGAGGAAGGGTTTTGTTCTGTGTAAGGACAAAGCGCCCACAGTGAGAGCTACCTGCAGGTGGGATGGCTCTGGGTGATGCCTGTCATGGCCCGGTTCCGAAGTGAGACATTGTAACTGTCTCCTGTCCCTCTCTTAGCGCCCCCAGGCAAACCACCAGCCTCCAGGAGCAGGGCCCACGTCAGGCCCCAGGACTCCGACCCCTGAAGAGCCAGGGACGGCCCCCAGGGGGCCCCAGAAAGACCCAGATCCAGAGGAGGAGTTGGCAGGTAAGGCCCTAGACCCCTCCTCACAAGAGGGAGCTCTGGGAGAGAATGAAACCCAGGTCCCAGAGGACTGGGAGGGAGCCTTTGGAATCAGTGCCTTGTGTCTGTTGCGTGAATGCATGAACGAGTGCTTTCTGCCCTCAGATGCTCAGGATGATGGGACCGAAGATTCTGGTGACACAGAGGATGAGCTGAGGAGGTGGGTGAGTTGGAACAGGAAAGGAGAGGTGGGGCAAGGTCCCGGCAATCACTGGGCTCCTCTCTGCGCTTCCCCAGGGTGGTCGAGCTAAGCGACCAGAAGCAGCCCCCAGATCCAGGGGAGAATGGAGAGGACCCATATGCCGGGTCCACTGACGAGAACACAGACGACGAAGGCCCAGAGCCGTTGGACCAGCCCATCCCCGAGCTCCCAGGTGTCGTCGTCCACTCCCTCCCCGTCTGCCCCACCCAGAGCCTCCCCCCAACTTCCTTTCCCGAGGCCCATCTGGTCCCAGGGGCTCACCCCCTACCCTGGCTAGGCACCCACCCACCCACCTGCCTGCCCCTCATGCTGCTGGCTCAGCTCAGCACTTCCACAGTCCCTTAACTGCCCCGTCCCACGTCCCCCCAGACTTCTTCCAGGGCAAACACTTCTTTCTCTATGGAGAGTTTCCCGGTGAGCAGCGAAGACAGCTGGTGCGATTTGTTACAGCATTCAACGGGTCAGACTTGGGGCGGGGCACGGTGGGGGTGGGGCAGGGTAGGAGTAAGCCCAGCAGAGCCTGAGTTTTCAGGGGTTCTGATGTGTCTGCCTCTTGGATCCCACAGGGAGATAGAAGACTATATGAATGACCGAGTCCAGTTTGTGATTACGGCCCAGGAGTGGGACCCCAGCTTTGAGGAGGTGAGGAGCCCTTGCTGCCACACCCTGGGGCAGAGGGAAGGGGTGGCAGAGGTGGAACCTGGCTTAGATCCCAGCCTGTCCTCTTCCCCCACCTCCCCAGGCCCTCCTGGAAAACCCGTCCTTGGCCTTTGTCCGTCCCCGCTGGATTTACAGCTGCAATGAGCAGCAGAGGTTGCTGCCTTACCAGCTCTATGGGGTGGTCCCCCAGGCCTGACAGGCAGACGGACGACCAAGCCTGGCCCAGCTCTTCCCCTCCCAGTCCCTCCCACCCCCAGAGCTGTAATAAAAGTCACTGTTTGGAGCAGCCCCTGCCTGCTCTTTTCTGAGGCCCCCTGATGTTGGGGGGGGGGTAGGGTTTCAGGATCCTCAGTTTCTATCCTGACTCTCCACCCTTTGTCACAGGCCCCAGGTCTCTGGATAAGTCTCCCAGCTTTCATGAAGGAGGCTCTGGGGAGCTGTTAGGCATTGTGCCTATGGAGTGGAGAAGCCCTTTTTCGGGGGGACACCCATGGGACATAGGCTTCCATGTAACACTGCGCTCCCTGCCTAGACCGCCCATGGGAACAGTGCCCCCCAGTGCCTGCACAGAACCCCAGAAGTAGAAATTGTCTCTTTATTGGCAGCAGTGGAGGTAGGGGAAGGCAGGCAAGGGGCTGGGGGGGATCTACCACTGTGGGGCAGGGTTCAGGCCCGCTCCCCCTTGGCCCCCCTCCCAGCCTTCCCTTCTCCACGGTGGCTCCGCTGGTGGAGGGCCAGGAGTCGGCGCTGGTTGAAGGCTTGGCCACAGCTCGGGCAGCGATGCTGAGGGTCTGCCGGGGCAGGAGGTGAGGGGGGAGCTGGGATAGGGACGCCAGTAGCAGTAGGAGCGTGGCGCCGCTGGTGGGCTGCCAACTTGGAGGGGTAGCAGAAGGACTTGGGGCACTGAGGGCAGGGGTAAGGGCGAGTGCCGCCAGCATGGGTGTGTCGGTGGGCAGCCAGCTTGGAGGGGTAGCAGAAAGACTTGGGGCAGTCTGGGCAGGGGTAGGGGCGGGCAGGTGAGTGGGTCCAGCGATGGGCAGCCAGCTTGGATCGGTGACCAAAAGCCTTGGGACAGTCCGGACAGGGGAAGGGGCGGGCACCACTGTGAGTGAGGCGATGGGCAGCCAGCTTGGAGGGGTAAGAGAAGGCTTTGTCACAGTCAGGGCAGGGGTGTGGGCGGGCTCCACCATGAGCCAGGCGGTGGGTGGCTAGCTTGGAGGGGTAGGAGAAGGCCTTGTCACAGTCTGGGCAGCGGTGAGGGCGCTGGAGGGGGGGTGGGCGGCGAGCCCTGGACGGACCGGGGCGCTCGGAGGCAGCTGCTGGGCTCCGCTTCGGCTTGGAGGTTTTGCTGGAGGCTGGGGGTGGGGATCAGAGGTGCCACGGACTGAGTGAAAGGTGCTCATCCCTGGTACTCTTTCCCCTTGGAGGAAGGCCCCTTGCGGCCCCCAACCCTCCCACGGCCTTCTCCAGGATGTCTTCCTTTTTCCCCAGCCCTTTGTGTGGGACCCCCCTCTCATGGACACCAAGCTCTCCTCCCCCCCTCCCCGGAGGGTTCTTTTCTTGGGGCGGCTGCTTCTCACCCCCTCCGTTGGTCACTGACTCCTTGGCAGAGGGGCTTCTCCCTCTGCCCCCAGGCCCTTGCTCCCCTCGCTCCAGCATGATGCCAGGGGGGGCTGGAGCTGGGAGAGGACAGAGGCGCACTCAGTCAAGACCCCCCACGTGTGCCCAAGGAGAGGGCGGATGCTGGGGCGGAGAGGAGGGGGCTCCAGTTCATTGGGAGAAGCAGGAAACTTTCGTGGGGGCGGGGCCGATGGAGCTGCGGGAGGATGGTCGAGGGCGGGGCTTCGGATCTCAGGAGGCTGCGCGGGGGTGGGACCGCAGGATGCGGGAGGGGCGGGGCTTAGTCGGGGGGGGGCCACAATCCCGAGGGCGGAGTTACCCGGTTCCGGGGCTCAGGCTCGCTCCGGGTCCATGGAGGGCGCGTTAACCCCTTCGTCCCTGTAGCCGCGTCTCATCGCCAGCGCCTGGCGGGGAAGGGCGCGAGAAAACCTGGAAGGGGAAGCAGCGCGAACGGCCGATGCGAGGAGGATCCAGGTGTCCGGCCTCCGCCCCTTCAAAAGCCCGGAGTTGGGCCCCAGCCTTGTCCGCCCCGCCCAGGCAGGGCCCAGGACTCGGACCCTGACCCCGACCTCTGGGCAGCTCCTCCCTGGGGGCGGGGCTCCGACCCCTCCTTGTCGCCCCCGCCGCTGCCTGCTGCTGCCGCGCTGCTCCGGGGCCTCTGCAGGGGCTTGCAGCTCTGAGCGCGCGCCCGAGGAGTGGGCGGGGATGGAGACCCGCGCAGGCCGCGCGCGCGCGCACGCGCCCTGCTTTCTACTTCCTCCACCGTGGGAAACGGGGGCGAGCATGCAACGCAGGGCGCGTGCCAGCCTCTATCGCCCGGGGAGAATGGCGCATGCGCTAAGGGGAGCTACCGGGCCAGATCCGAGCGGTAAGTAAACAGATAAGACCGAAAAGCGCACTACGGTGGCCTCCCTGGATCAAGATTGTCTGATCGCTGCGCTTTCTGTTGTTAGCCAGGATCTCTCTCCTATCCTTTGCCTGTACCTCCTTTTCTTCTGGCCCAAGGCCCCCAGGCCAGTCCGTCCATACGTCCCGGCTGGAAAGTCACTCCTCCTCTCTGGGCCTCAGTTGCCCTATCTGGTGTACCAGAAGACCCCTGAGTTTCCCGCCAGCTCTACATCTCTGCTCAGAGACAGCCAGAGATGGAGAAATAGAGACAGAGAGACATGGAGAGCCCCAGAGCCGGGGGGGGGGGAGGGGAGGAGAGAAGATGGAGCCGCCAAGGGATGCCTGCTGTTTGCATAAACCTACTAGCCCTTCCCCCCGCCCCAGCCCCGTTATAGCCAGGGGGCACAGGCAGCGATGGAGGTGGGGCGCTGGGTCTTCAGCAAGACTGGCTCCCTAAGGAGGGGGGGCTGGCAGATGAGACCCGGGCCTTGGGAGGGTGAGGGCTGGGGACCCCATGCCTGGGTCCCCAAGATTAGCTGCGGGAGGGAGGAATATCCATTGGGATGAAGATGGAGCACGGGCTGCTCTGGCTTCCTTCCCCGGGCAGTGACTCCGCACATTCCTCCCACCCCCGAGTCCTGCAAACTTCCCACAGCGAAGGGCTCCTGGAGCATCCCCCCTCCCGCGTCCTTCCAGTCCCCCAGCAGTGATGCTTCAGAGCCACCGAGTCTGCACCCTTCACCTGATGGCGTGGCCCTGCCCTGGCGTGGACAGGGGCGGCCGGGTCACCCGGCAGACCCCCAAAGCCTGCCTCCGCTCCTCCAGCTCAGCCCTCAGGCCTAGGCCCTCGTTTCCTCAGCTCTTGGGTACATTGCAGCCAGCATCCATCCTGCATCCTGCATCCCCCCTCCCTCCATCCATCCATCCATCCTTCTGCTTGGCCCCAGGGGAGGAATGCTGGGCTTCCATGAGGGTCCCCACAGGGACAGACGAAACTTGCCCTAGAGAGACCGAAGGACTTTCCCAAGGTCACACCCATGAAAAGTGACTCGAACTCAGGTCCTAGTCTGCAAAGGTAGTCTCAGGGTCCCAGAGTCTTGCCTTGGGATAAGAAGCCCCACAGGGAGCTTTCACTTGGGCCTCTCTCATGGGGGAAGGGGTGTTACATGACCTAGCCCTCCTCCCCACACCTTGTGAGCACCTGGGAAGGGGAGGAGAAGTGATTGAGACCCTGTCAAAGACGACATTGGAACCTGGGTCTCCCGAGTCCGATGACAACAACAATTATAATTATGAAGAATTGCTGGTCCTAGACTCCTTAAGGGAGGGACTACTTTCACTTCTGTCTCTGTTACCCCAGCGCCCAGCACAAGGCCAGTCACCCTACAACGGCTGGAGACTTGGGAGTCAGCGTGCTACCGGCTTGCCTCGGAGCTAGTCCGTGGTCCACTCGGAGCCTCGGTTTCCTCATCTCTAAGCTGGGGATGACGGTATCGACCTGCCGCAGAGAGCTGGTGCTAGATTAAAAGAGCGCTTTGCTAATGTGAACCCCCACCCCCATAAATGTCAGTTTACAAATAACAGCTACTCCCATTTTCTTGGCGCTTAGAGATCCCCAAAGCACGCTTACGCTTGAGTAGGGAATGCTGGGTAGTTAGCATGCCCGTTTTACAGACCGGAAAACAGAAGCTCAGACCAGGTGGTTCTGGGATTCGAACTCTCCTCATTTGCTCGGCCCCTTTAAGGCCCCTCCCTTCTAGGCAGGTCCAAACCACGCCCCGGCCCTTCCCCTGGCTCTGGTCTCGGGGCAGCCCTAACCGACCTCAGTGTGAGCGATGGGGCCGGGGCTGCTGCTGCGCGTGCCTGGCCTGCTGCGGGCTCCCGGGCTGCGCTGGGTACGATGTCGGAGGGCGTTCAGTGTTCGGGCGGACGGCCTGCTGCTGCGCCAGGTGAGGGCGGGGGCCGGGATGCCCGGTGCCCAGGATTCTGGATGCTGGACGAATGGGGGGGGGGGCTTCGGGCTGGGAGTGGGACCCCCATTCACCCCGACGTCTTCTCCTGTCCTCCGTTTCCAGCTCTTCGAAGCCAAGAGTTGTACCTACACTTACCTATTGGGGGACCGGGCCACTGGGGAGGCTCTGCTTATTGATCCCGTGCTGGACACCGCCTCCAGGGATGCTCGGCTCGTCCAGGATCTCGGCCTGCGCCTCCTGTATGCAGGTGAACCTGGCCCGGGAGGCAGGCGGGGGCTAGGGGGCTGGACCCCCAGTGTGCACCGAGCCGAGAGAGCTTCCAGAAGCACATCTCTGCCTGGTGGCCTTGACGTACCCCCCAGGCACGCGGATGGAAAACAGCAAATATCTGCCCCCAGGAGATCCCTGTCTGCTGGGAGGGGATTTGCCTTAACTTAATTCTTCCATGGGCCGGGCCGGGGCGGGCTGGGGCAGAGTGCGGTGGAGTGGAGGTCTCCCACCCATTTAGGAGTGGGATACTAGACCACCATGTATGGGCTGCTTTGGAGGAGGGAGGCAGTGGAGGCAGGGGGCTCTCGAGGAGGTCACTGATTGCCTGGACTAGGACAGTGGTCTCCAAGGGCCCTCCCTGCTCTCACATCCTGTCCCTCCCCTCCCTCAACAGTCAACACTCACTGCCATGCGGACCATGTCACAGGCAGCGGCCTTCTCCGGTCCATGATTCCTGGCTGCAAATCTGTCATCTCCCGTCTTAGTGGGGCCAGAGCTGACCTGTTCCTGGAGGATGGTGACATCTTGACCTTTGGACGATTTGTGAGTTGCCCAGGGTGGGAACAGAGCCTGGGATGATGGGTCTGGCAAACTGGGTGATGCAGGCAGAATCACCAGGGCATGGCTGAAGGGGCCATAAACACACCCTTGGCACTCGGTGAAAAGGGCAGGTGTGATCAGGGGCATGGGCATGTGATCATTAGAATCAACACATTTCCTGGGGTTAGCGCAGCCCTTGAGTAGGGGAGGGGAGGACAGAAGGAAAAGGCAGTCTGTGCCTGCAGTGGGCGCAGTCTGGGAGCCGGTGACCTCGGGGGCACCTGGAATTTTATACAAATAATGTTTCATTACATTCTATTCTCTGTGTGTGTGTGTGTGTGTGTGTAAATATATATGTATATGTATACACACACACACAATCTTCTGTATAAAGGCCCCAGCTTTTTGCATCAATAGGTTTGCAAGAGAGGCATTGTGGGTGGCGGATAAATGTCTCTGGCCCATCCTGGCTCTGTGACCCCTAAGTCAGTTTCTTAGGGTCCCCAGGCAGCTAAGACTAGAGCCAGGCTGGAAGGAAGCTGCCAGTGGGGGGCAGGCTACAGCCAGCGAGCTCTCAGAGGAATGCAATCAGAGATCTGACAAGAGAAAAAAATGACCCTTGGCAAACGGTTCTTTTGAAATTCTTAAGGAAGGAAGTGTGGTGGTGACCTAATCCACTTTTTCCAGAGGTGGGGAGCCAGCTCACAGTCACGCAGCTAGAGAGTATTGGATGCTGGATTTAGCAGTGGCAGGGACCTTAGCCATCGCTGAGTCTGAATCCACTCATTTTTACAGATGGGGAAACTGAGGCTGGATTTGAAAGGTAGATTTCCATAACGGAATTCCTTCTCCCTCCCCAAGCCCTGGAGCTCAGGTAAGGCAGGGACAGGCTGGGCCTGCTCTCATCTCTGTAATCCCCCCTCAGGCCCTGGAGGCCCGGGCCAGCCCTGGCCACACGGATGGCTGCCTGACTTTTGTACTGAGTGACCACAGTGCAGCCTTCACTGGGGATGCCCTGCTCATCCGCGGATGTGGACGCACAGACTTCCAGCAAGGTCTGGGCCCCTTCCCCCTACACCCATTCTAAGAATATTTAGGATTATCTCCTGTGCCTTGGGCATTATGAGTAGGCTTGTCCCCGTTTAGCCAAGGATAGACTAAGGCAGCTAAGGCAGTGAGGTTTGTCTGTGAATAGGCCGTCCTCAGGGCAGAAAGAGGAGGGGGGTCACTCTCCTGATTTTCCAAATGAGGAAACTGAGTCCCAAAGAGGGAAAGGTGTTCCCCTGAGATCAGACAGCGAGGCAGGGAAAGACTCGCATCTGGGACCCAGGTCTCCTGCTTCCCAACCCTAGGCTTCTTCCTCTTCAGCCCACATCCTTTCTCTCAATCCTCTCCCTGCCCATTATCCCCTGGGGTTGTGTAGGGAGGTGGGTGAGGCTGATGCTGAGTTCCTGCTCTTAGAGGGAGGGGGATGGGGTGGGAATAAACACTCACAAAGCACCATACTGGGTGCAGTATGATCTCATTTGTTCTTGGGAATCCCACCCTTATCCATGCTCCATGAAGACCTCCTTTCTTCTTCCCCATCCCGCCAGGCTGTGCTAAGACCTTGTACCATTCAGTCCATGAGAAGATCTTCACCCTTCCTGGGGACTGCCTTATCTACCCAGCTCATGACTACCAAGGTGTGAGGGCTTCCTGGAGATCAGTGGGTTGGGAGAGGGATGAGGACCGGTTAGAAGATGTGGATGTGAGGAAACTACAACTCCCAGAAGCCATTAGGGCACACACAGTAGCATCACAACTTCCAGAGGCCCTTGGGGTACATGGTGGGAGAACTACAGCTCCCAGAGGCCCTTGGAGGCCCAGAACCACAATTCCCAGAGGCCTTTGGGAGCTCAGAACCACACCTCTCAGAGGCCTTTGGGTTATACACAGGCAAACCACAGCTCCCAGAGGCCCTTGGGGTATGCACAAGAGAACCACAGCTCAGAGGCCCTTGGGAGCTCCAAACCACAGCTCCCAGAGTCCCTTGGGAAAGCAGGACCTCAGTTCCCAGAGGCCTTTGGGGTGTACAAAGAGAACCACAATTCCCAGAGGCCCTTCAAAGCTCCAAACCACAGTTCTCAGGGGCCCTTGGGGACTCAGAACCACAGTTCCCAGAGGCCTTTGGGGTGTGCACAGGAGCCTCAAAGCTCAAAGAGCCCTGGAGAACCATAGCTCCCAGAAACCCTTGGGGGCTCTGAACCACAATTCCCAGAGCCTTTTGGGAACGCGGAACCACAGCTCCCAGAAGCCTTTGGGCCTCCAGTCTTTAAGCATGAGGAAGGAGGTTTAGCTTATATGGAGGTGTTAATGGACCATTAGAGCTCTTAGAGAGCATCAGTTTTGGGACTTCATCCCTCTCATGGAGCTGGGATGGACTATAGAGCATGTGAGGCATCCTTGTTGCCACTGCCCATAGTCCACCCAGGTGTAGCTCCCAGGGCTGATGGGATATGTAGTCCAGCATGGGATTGGCCTGCCCAGGACAGCTGGAGGTGTCAGTTGCACCATGAACAGCAGTAGGATTAGCTTCAGGGGCTCGCAATGGGAATACTCCCCTTCCCCTAGGCTGGGGAAGGGGGTGTTTGGGGAAGGGGGCTGGAGAGAAGGGCTCTGGGAACCAAATGGGCACATGGGGTGATACTTATTGGCTAACAGGGCATACAGTGTCCACTGTGGAAGAAGAGCGGACTCTGAACCCTCGCCTCACGCTCAGCTGCGAGGACTTTGTCAAGGTCATGGACAACCTCAACCTGCCCAAGCCCAAGCAGATTGGTGAGAAGCCTGGAGGTCTTGGTTGTCTGAGGGAGGTGGGATGCGTAGGACCCCGGGGCGGGGCCGCTTGATTCCCGGGAGCAGGAGAGAGAGAGCTTCCCCCGTTGTCACTCTCTTCCTCCCTCTGCAGACATCGCTGTCCCGGCCAACATGCGCTGTGGCATTCAGGAGCCCCCCAGCTGACTTCCTCATGGAGGCACCCCACACCTCAGCACCTCAGTTCTGCTTGCTCCCACTGGGATGAGGTTCTAACAGTGAGAGACCCCAGTCCCCCTCCAGATTCTGTTAATAAAGCTTTTTTTGCCTAAACCTCGGCCAGTCCTCCTTCATCTTCGCACCTTCCCTCTGTGTCTACCCCCCAGTTTATCTCTTCTGCAGTTTGTTTGCACATGGTTGTGTGGGTGTTATCTCCCCATTAGATTGTGAGCTCCTGGAAAGCAGGGGTTGTCTTCTAGCTTTCTTTGTACTCGCAGTGTTCAGCACAGTGCCTGGCACATAATTGGTCAGTCATTTTTCTGTTGTGTCTGACTCTTCATAACCCCATCTGGGCTTTTCTTGGCAAAGATACTGGGGTGCTTTGCCATTGCCTTTTCCAGATCACTTTACAGATGAGGAAACTGAAGCACACAGGGATGAGTGACTTGCCCAGGGTCACACAGCCAGTATCTGAGGTCAGATTTGAGCTTAAAAAGATGAGTCTTCCTGACTCCAGACCCAGCTCTCTATGCACTATGGTGCTACCTAGCTGCTCCTGACTGATCATCAGTACTTAAAGTAGGTACCTTGATTTGACTGAACCCAGATTGTCTAAGCTGGGGACCTGGGGTCCAAGTCCCCTAGTAGACTTCTGATAATACTTGGTCTTCATCAAGTGCATTTGCAGGGCCAGGAACTGTGCTAGGCATTGTGGTTATAAAAAAACAAACAAACACGTAACTGCCCCCCCTACCTCCCCCCGCATACACGCACTTATGAAGAGCTCAACTTTCTGGGAATAGAACCTAGGCTGGATTTGAGGCGGAAGGCTCATGGCACCTAGGACTTAAGAGGGGGAGGTGGGATGGTGCAAGGGACAATGCTGCTTCAGAAGCTCTGGGTTTGAATCCTGATTCTTCCACTTCCTACCTATGTGTCCTAAGGAAATTCATATTACCCTTCTGGACTCCAATAAAAGGAGGGGGTTGAACCTGATGACCATTCATGTCCCTTCTAGCCCTAAGTCTCTGAGTGAGGGGTCAGTCAAATCTCTGTGATGATGGATGGGTACTGTGTGCCAGGCATTGTGCTATGCACTTTCCAGATATCTCATCTGAGCCTCACAACATCCCTGGGAGTGAGTTCTGTTATTATTCCCATTTTCCAGCCAAAGATTCATATGAGGCAGATGTTAGAAGGCTGGCTTTGACTGGCCAGAGAAACTGCTAAAGAGAAGGCTTGTCTTGCTGGTGAGCACCACTAGGGGGCGTATGTTGGCAGGGTTTGTGGAACTGACCAGAGGGGCTCTGGATTCAACAACTCTGCCAGTTAGGGTAGGAATGGGCCAAAGGCACCACAGACCAGAAAGCTCTCCCTGTGAGAGCCTGGGCAGGCCTACGTGGCTGATGTTTGGGGAGGAGAGAACTGGAAAGTTTTCATTTAAACTTCCTGTTTTTGCCCATAGAGGAAGGGTCTGGCCACATGACCTTGAACTCCTCCCTGCAGTGACCCCCCCCATTGTGGCATGGGACTGAGCCCGTTCTCCCCCTGACTCACCACGAGGTGCCCCCCTGCTCAGGCCCCCAAACTGGTCCCAGCCCTTCCAAAGTGGTCATTAGAGGGTAACAGCCCCACCCCTCCACCTGCAGGCCTGGGGTCCTGGAGCCAGGAAGTTAGGGGCTGGGATACAAGAAACTTGGTCTTTGAAGCTGGAAAATTGGATGCTTCTGTCCTTCAGCATTTGGGGGCTCCATGGAGGGGAAGGGGACACCTGGGTCCCTGAAAAGGGCATCCTAAAGACCAGATCCCTGGGTCTTCTGGGTGGGGCCTGAAATGTGCACCCCCACCCCCCCCGTGGGGAGGGGGGACCAGGACGCCTGGTTCCCAGGGTGTGGGCACTGGAAGAGCCAGATACCTGCTTCCCTACGGAGCTGTCAGACCTGTTCTCTTTCCTCCTTTTTCTCCTCCCACTTCCCCCCCCACCCCGCATCCGGGCTCCTGCAGGGGGGCGGCCCCTCCCTCCTCCCCCGACACCTGTCCCGTGGGCAGAGGCCAGGGTTCTGGGAACAAGGAGAGGCCTGCGAGGAGACAAAGCGGGTGAGGGGGCTGGACACCAGGGGCTCTGAGGGTGCGGGGGCTAGGGATTGGGACACCTGGGTTCCAGAGGGGGTGGCTGAAGGGTCAGGACTCCGGGGTCCCTCAAGGGGCAAGGGGAGGGGTTTAGGGCACCTGGATCCCTGAAGGAGAAGTGTGTGTATCTTTGTTAATCAGAATGCCAAGGTCCCTGGGTAGGGGAGAGAGGGGAAGCCCCAGTCCCAGGAGGAGACCCCTGGCGACCTAGACCCGTGGGTCAGTAAGGGACAGGGTTAGAGGTGGTCGGACTCTAGGCTCCTGGGAAAAGGGGGCTTCCCGGGCATTTCTCTAGGCCAAGGGCTGATTGAGGTAAAGAAGTGAGCGGGTTTGGTAGGATGAAACCAAGTTCCGGCAAGGATCGGTGATCTGAGCCCCCGGAACAGGCCCTGACCCAACCCTGCCGGGCCTCAGCCCTTCAGTACCCAACTCGCGAAGTTCCTTAGGTCCCTCCTCTGGAGCCTTCCGCAAGCCTCCGGTCCCGCCCCTAGCTCATCTTAGAGCCCGCCTCCAGAGCTCTGACTTGGTTCCTGAGACCGTGCGGTCCCACCCCCTTTGCCCCTGCCCAATCCCTGAGCCCCTCCGACCAGCCCGGCTGAGTTCCCTCTCCTTTCTCGGAGTGCCTCATTTTCTTCCCTTAGACCCTTACCCAGTCCCTGAGTCCTTCCAGGTTCACTCCCTGAGCTCCCTCGTCCTTCTCGGGGTACCATAGGCCATACCCCCTGAGCCCCCTTGTCCTCGGGGTATCGTGGGTCTTGTTCCTGAACCCCTTGCCCAATCCCTGAGCCCTCTTGCTCCTCCAGCTCGGAGTCCCCAGACTCCTGTCTCAAGTCCCTCAAGCCTCGCCCCCAGGGCCGAGGAGGAGAGCCCTGCCCTCAGCCCCTTCTCCCCCAGCAGCCCCCGGAGCCTGGGCCGAAGGCAGTCCCAGAGAAGAGAGACATGGGAATTCCAACGAGCCCCGAGGATGGGAGCCAGGAGGGGTCCGAGCGTCCTGAGGGCCAAGCCGAAGTCGGGGAGACCGGCGAGCAAGAAGTCTCCGAGGCCCCCAGCGCAGCCTGCCGGGAAGAAGAGGAGGATGAAGAGGGGAGCAGTACGGAGAGCGGTCGGGATCAGGTGAGAGCCAGAGACAGGGAGCCAGAGACTGGGAAATCAGAGACACAAAGACCAAAGACACAGAGAAATACTGAGACACTGAAAACAACAGAGAGAGACGGGTTATGGGAGACACAGAGACCTGAGAAACACAAAGACTAAGAAACCCAGAAACACTGAGACAGAAAGCCAGAGATAGAAAAGTCCAAGACACGGATGCTGTGAGATGCAGAGATAGAGACAGAAACTCAAATACTGGAGACATGGAGACATAAAAAGAAACAGAGATACATCGAGACATAGGCACAGGGAGCTAGACTGACAGAGACAGGGATAGAGACTGACTGAGAAACCTAAAGACAAAAAGACGCAACACACCGAGAGACACAGAGACAGGCAGCCAGAGAAACTGAGAGACAGACTGTGGAACTCAGAGACAGCGATACAGAGACAACCAGAGACAGAAAGACACAGACCCTGTCAGGATAGAGAGACGGTGACCTAGACACCCAGACGGACCGAGACAGACCAAAAATGACAAAAAGAGGAAGACACAGAAATCAAGCCGTGACCACGTCCCTCCCCCGGCAGGGCGAAGCCCAGCCCTCTGTGCCGCCCCCTGTAGAGGGGCCACGAGGCGCAGCCCGTCGTCTAAGGGGGCAGCAGCTGGAGGCGCTGACTCGGGTGGCCCTCATGGAGCAGCGGGTCAAGGAGCTCCAGCAGCAAAGGAAGGAGCTGAGAATCGAGGTGTGGACCCTGGCTTCCTGCTTACCACAGCCCTGTCTCCTCAGGGACTCGGCTTCCCCACCTTCCCAGCCCCTTCCCCTTAGTTACCCAGACACCCAGCTCCCCAAAATCCCTCCCCTGGGCACCGCAGCTTTCCCACCCTCCCAGCCCCTTCCCCTCAGTCATCCAGACACCCAGCTCCCCAGAATCCCTCCCTTGGCACCCCAGCTTCCCCATCTTCACAGCCCCCTTCCCCTCAGGTACCCAGGCATTATACCACCCCTAGACTCCTCCCCTCATGCACCCAGACATCTGGCCCTCAGCTCCCCCTGTCCCCCCACCCCAGATGGAGGTAGAGGTGGCTTTGCTCCGAGGGGAGCTGGCTGGTGAGCGAGTGGCTGCCCGGAGGGAAGAGGAGCAGCTTCGGGAGCTTCAGAGACAGCAGGAGGCAGCTGAGCAGAAGGCGGGGGAGCAGAGGGAACAGGTGTGTGGAGGAGGGGCTGTGGTCCTGGGGACGGGGTGGGGGTGGGACTGAGACTCCCTCTGCCTCTCATCTCCTGTCTACAGAATGGGGTTGTTCTCCCGTTGCAGAGATGAAAAAAACTGAGGCACAGAGAGGGATTCAGCATGCTAAAATCACAGGGCGCACAGCAGTGGCAGAGCCTGGATTAGAAACCAGCTCTTCTAAGGTCCCAAGTCCTTACATTTGGGCAGTGAGACAACAGGGACATAGGTATAACACTGAAGGCAAATGATCTAGAACACAAGGGCTTGAAGGGGCCTTAGAACGGAAAGCATGGAACGTTAGAGCAAGGTTGGGACCCTGGGGACCCTCAATATGCAGAGGAGGGAACAGGCCCAAAGAAGACCCTGACTTTGGTTGGCACAGAGCCAGGTGTCCTGTCATCAAAACCAATGCTTTCCACACTCCACCATGACGCTAGGGTGATTCTGGAGGACGGTGAAGCCCAGAAAGGTGGCGACATGGCCACGGTCACAGAGCACTCAAGCAATGTGTCTCCAAATGAAGCGTGAAGGAGGGACTCTGCCTTACAAGGGGGGATGAGGCAGAGGGGCAAGGACTTGTACCAGGTCACGCAGCTAGCCTGGGACTAGCACCCAGGTGTCCCGATTCCAGTTTCAGGCCTCTTTCTTTCCCTCCCTTTTTAGGGGCCTATCAGATTTTGGCCAAGCGCCTGCCCCTCTCCCGACCTGTTTTCTCACATGGAAAGTGTGCTGGGTAGGGGTGGAAAAGGGGACAGTTGTTATAACAGGTGATGTCTAAGGGAAGAGTCCTTCCTGATTGAAATCCTGGGATCTGTGATGGCAAACAACTTCGGCATCTTTTGGCCAGTGAGGGGTTTGGAGAAGCTCTAAGAGTTTCAGTCCCTGCTTCTTGGGGTTTGTCCTGCCAGGAGCAGCAGCGTCTTAGGGAGGCCCGGGCCCAGGTGGAGGGCCTTCGACTGAAGCTGGAGGAGGCTCAGGACAAATTGGACTCCAAGCCTGAGGGTGACAGGGAGGAGCTGTTGAAGGGGGTCCAGGAGGTAAGTGAGTGCTTCCCCCCACCAGGACCTAGGCATCCCAACCCCCAACCTAATTCCCCTTCAGGGACCCAAGCTGTCTAATTCCCCAGGCCCCATTCCCTTCAGGGACCCAGGCTCTCTGATCCCCCAGCCCCTCGCTCCTCCCCAGGTCTCTGAGCAGTTGGAAGCTGCCCAGCGTTCCTATGAGGATCTAGAGTTCCAGCAGCTGGAGAAGGAGAGTAGCTGTGAAGAGGAAGTGGATGGGTCAGGGCACCAGGGGCTGGGCCCCAAGATCCAAGAGCTGCAGGGGAGCCTGGCCCAGCACAGGGTGAGCCCCAGCAGAGCCCAGCCTTCCTTGCCCTTCCTCCCTCGCCATCTCCCTGTCCCTGTCTCCCTCACTTGGTGTGTTTTGTATCTTTGTCTCCCAATCCCTGGCCCCTCTGTGGGCGTCTCCATACGTGGAAAGGGCAGCCTCAGGAGGTGGTGGGCTCCCTGTCCATCCTGGAGGTCTGATGTAGTCTACCGAGGTCTCTTCCAATGTCCCCTGCTGTGATTCTGTGAGGTGTGGGTCTTGTCTGAGGTCTGACATCAGGCAGGATGCTTGGCTCTTTCTGCAAATCTCTGATTCTTGGGAATCTTCTCAGCGTCGAATCCAGGTCCTAGAGGAACAGCTGGGGTCGCTCGGGGAACAGATGGCAGCTGAAAGCCGTGGCCTGAGCCGAAAGAAGGAAGAGGCGTTGCAGGCCTTAAGCCAGGTGACCCCTGAATTCCCTAGCCCAACCCTGAAGTCCTCTCAAGTCCAGCAGGACAGGCTTAAAGAAGTCTCCCATTGGGAGACCCTCTCCAACACCCACTGGCTTATATGACTGTAGTCAAGTCACTTCCTATTTAACCTCATTGTTCTCTGCTGTAAAATGGGGCTAAGAAATCCTTTACATGCCCTAAGGCAAAGGTTCTTGGGGGGCCATCAGGTTCTGAAATCCCCTGCCAACTTCCTGAATTCTCCCTCTATCCAGGAGCGGAACAGGCTTCTAGAACTAAGCCACCTGCAAGGGACCCAAGGTAGAGATGACAGTTTCTCTGAGCAGAGCCAGGCCCTAACCAAGGTAACCAGAAACCTCCCACCCCAGGCATACAAGAATCCCTGTGCCACTCTCTCCCCTTGGGCTGACCCTCATCCTCTGTCCAGCTCCTGTTCACTCAGAAGACAAATCGCCAGCTCCTGGTCCTACAGAATTCCTCCACCCCAGCATCAACCTCGGCCTCCTCCTGCCTCTTCTCTGTGCACAGCTCACTCCAGGTGGGGAGAAGTGGGGGAGACCTGGGGCTAAGACCCTGAGGCTGGCAGGGTGGGGGGAGCAGGCCCCAAGCTGATGCCCTCCTATTTCTGTTTCCTTTTCCTCTCTCCCATCTCCTCTCCTCTCTTGTCTTTTCCTCCCTTTTCTTCATCTTACTCTCCAGGGCTCCTTTGGGCTCCAGAGGACAGGCAGTTTGCCTAGGAGAAAGGGAGACCGGGCCCGACAGAGGGGCTCTACACGACCCCTGTCCCTGCACTGCAGCCGTGAGTGTCTTGTCCCCCACCAAAGAGGACCCTGGGAGCAAGGATGGAGAAGGGATGCAGGTAGGGTGCAGGCAGGAAGGGGATGAATCCTCTAAGCCTCCTTCTTCCCTTTTAGGGCCCCTGGAGGCCTCTGCTGTGCAGCCCCCTCCAGGCAATCCCCAGAGACATGCCCTGTACCAGCTGCTGAACTGTAGCCCGGGAACCAGGTGAGAAGGAAGGAGATGGGAACAGGAGTAGGGCAGAAGAGGGAAAGGCTCCGTCTGGGGGACAGGGTGGTACTCCCGGGCCTTTCCTGTCTTCCAGCTGTGGAGTGCCCCATCCTGATATCATCCGAATGGAGAAGCTGCTCCAACAGGCCGTGGCAGAACGGGAAAGGCTGCTGCAGGCCCGGGTGAGAGCCAGGGCTTCTCATGTCCTCAGGGACCCTGACTGGAGGATGCCTCTCCTTCCAGATCTCTTAATGACCCCAGGGTCAATCTCCTGGCCCCTTAAGGACCTGAGCGCTTTGCCCCCCATCTCTCTCAGGGACCTGGATGTCTGGATCCTCCAGTCCCCAACCTCCTTAGATCCCCAACTGCACTGATCCCACTCCCTGACCCCCTCTGCCCATGGTCCCATTTCTGCCTTTGCTGGTGCTGGGCATGGGCCCTCAGGTTTGGGGGGCTTTGGTCCCCACTGATTCTCCTTCCCACTCTGACCCCCACAGCAGGGAACCAAGAGGAGCAAAGAGGAAGCCAGAGCTACTCCAGCCATCATGGTCAGTGAGCCTCCCCCCAAGCCCCCTGACCAGCTTCTTGATTCCCCGCAGCCTTCTGTCTCCCCATCCTCTTGTGCATCTGGGTCCCTCCCGAGCCATCCCTGGCCACCCCCCCCAAGTCAGTCTCCACCTCCATCACCCAGCTCAGCCTCCCCCCCACCCCCAGCTATAGATCCTATGAAATGAGGGTGACTCCTCCTTTCTGAAAGTGTTTCCTCCACTGTAAAGTGAAGACAGTCCCTGACCTACCTGCCCCACCTGCCACACAGGCTTGGTGGCACATATTTAGTTTAATAAACTCCAAGGAAGCCACTGGTAGAACCCAGCCCCCCTCCCATCCCCGTCAAGCCCACCTGGAGCCTCCCTCCCCCACCAGCCAGACTAGTGCCTTCCTTCTATTCCTCATTGCTTTTGGAGCCACTTGGACCCTGTTCATGTCTCCCCTTCATTCAGGCCCCACCAGCACCCCTGCCCCCGCCACTGCCACCCCGACCTCCAGGCCCCCGGGTTCTGGACTTGTACCAGCACCTGGAGCGCTGGGGCCACAGCCCCGAAAGCTGCCCTCATGTTCGAGTGACCAGCGGCTGCTGCCGGGGGCCACTGGTGAAGGTGGGGGGCCGGATCAAGACTTGGAGGAAGCGGTGGTTCTGCTTTGACCGCCATGCCCGCCGGCTGGCCTACTATGCTGGTAAGGAGTGACCCCTCCTTCCCCACTGCCACCCTCACCTCTCCTCATTTCCTTCAGGGGGGAGATGTGACCTTAGCCAAGCTGGCCTCCTCTTTTTTTGGTGAGGCAATCAGAGTTAAGTGACTTGCCCAGGGTCACACAGCTAGTAAGTGTCAAGTGACTGAAACTAGATTTGAACTCAGGTCCTCCTGACTCCAAGGCCAGAGCTCTATGCACTAGGCCATCTAGCTGCCCCCTGGTTTTCTCTTAAAGAGCAGGCTAGATGGTCCCTCTAAAATCCTAAAACCTGGGTTCTAAGGCCTAGCTCTGCCTCAGTTTCCTCCTCTGTAAAATGATCTGCAAGCTCCCTGCTGGCTGTCAACTCCAGGCTCTGATGACCCAGCCCCTGTCTACGAAATCTTAAGGACCTTTGGCCTTAGGCTTTACTTTGGACCCTGATCTCAGCCTCCACCATTGGGCCCATTCCCCACCCACCATCCTGACACTGGAGTGACCCACTGTAAACTCAACCTCCGTGCCCTTCCTCCCTTTCACCACCCCAGAACAAAATGAACAAAGCTCCTCCCTATTCTCTCCCTGTCTCAGACAAAGAAGAGACCAAACTCAAAGGAGTCATCTACTTCCAAGCCATAGAAGAAGTGTATTATGACCACCTGCGATGTGCCTTCAAGGTGAGTGAGCTTCCTTCCCTGGTCAGCGCTCATTCTTTAAAAAAAAAAAACTTGGAGTACTTTTTTTTTAGTTAGGCCATTGGGGTCTGAGGGTGAATTTGAACTCAGGTCCTCCTGACTCCAGGGCTGGTGCTCTATTAACTGCGCCACCTAGCTGCCCCCCCCAAATACTTGGGCTGCCCCTATCAGTTCCTCTTGCCCCAATGACAGCTGAGAGCCGTAGAGGGGGTGGCAGGAGATCCCGGCACCTTTAGGTCTCAGTGTCCCCCATCGGAAAATGGGAATCATGGCTCCCCCCCATCTCTGACATCTCTCCCCTAGTTGTTTCTTCCAGCCCTGACATTCTGTTGGTAACAGACTCATTCTTAGCCCGGGATTCTGAATCAGAGGTCCAGGGTATGAATACTATTTCTGTCCCCTGGTAGCTCGGTAGCCTTGGGCACGTCATTGCTTCTTTCTGGACCTCAGTCTCCCCAGAGTGTGAGACTGGGTCTCTGGAGCCCCGCCCTGCCCCAACTGACTTTGTAGGAGGCCCCCGAGACCCCCACCTTCTCTAAATGCACACCCTGAACCGCCCTTGGTGGTGATGCTGGTGGAGGGACTGGGTAAGGAGGGAAGGTCACCTGAGGTCCCTGATAATTCAGTGTCGGTCGGGGCTGGGGTCCGAGAGAAGAGCTTCCGAATTCACAGCCCTTCATCCTGCCCAGAGCCCCAGCCCCCGCCTGACATTCTGCGTCAAGACCTACGAGCGCCTCTTCTACATGGTGGCCCCCAGCCCAGAGGCCATGCGCATTTGGATGGATGTCATTGTGACCGCTGCAGATGAGAACCACGCCCCCTGATCCAGGGCCGCTCAGGTCCCCCCAAAACCCCACCCCTTCCGAACTTGCCCCAACAGCGCCCAGTCCACTGCCCAGTATTGACTCAGACCAGGTATTCTTAGCTTCTCCGGGCCTCACTTTCCCCATCTGTAAAATGAGAGTTAGACGAGCCGACCTCTGAGGCCCCTTCCAGTTGGATCCCAGATGCTATGAATAAGCCCTCAACGAGGCCCCATCCACTGCCCAACGTTTAAAGCCCGGGTATTCTAGTACTGGTAACATTCCCGGGAAGGTCCCGCCCCCTGCCGAACGTTCGTATCCACAGTGTTCTCTATTCCTTGTAACATTCCTGGGGAGACCCCGCCCCCTGCTGAACATTTGTACCCGCGGTGTTCTAGTCCTCGTAACTTTCCCGGAGAGGCCCCGCCCTCTGCCGAACGTTTGTACCCCCAGTGTTCTAGTGCGGGTAATATTCCCGGGGGAGGCCCCGCCCTCTACTGAAAGTTCGTACCCCTGGCGCTCTCTCCCTCCAAACTTTCCCCCGACCCAGGAAGCCCAGGCCCACGGGAACGGTCGCTTCCGCCCGGTGGGCTGCCTCTGCTCGGCCGGTCTGAGCCCGGATTTGCATGTGCTCCGGAGTCGGCTGCCGGCTTCACCCCTCGGGCTCTCCTGTCATTGGGGCGCGCGGGGGCGGCGGTGGAGGGACGTTTATTTATTGATGCACATGTGGGGTTAAATTAAACACTGAAGAAAAACAGTCATGGCTGTTGTTTCCACACCACCCGGGCGTCTTGCTCCTCCAAGCCCCACTCAGGGACCTAGGCGTATTGAGCCCCCACCCACCCCCCACCCCAGCCTCGTCTAACCTCCTCAGGATCCCAGGAGTCCCCAGACCCCATTTTCATCTAGGGATCCTAGTAAGGGTCCTGGGTTCCAGCCCTTACTCCTAGGAGTCCACAGCCTTTGCCCTTTTTATCACGTTTTGGGGGAAACCAAGCATCCTGGATCTCCCTGCCTTCATTTTTTTAGGGACTCGAGGAAATGACACGCAGCCCTGTGGGCTTGAGGAAGGCGCTGGGGCTCAGAAGCGAGTCTGAGTCAGGAAGCCTCAGGTTCCCCTACTCCTCCTCCCATGACCCACAGGAAGCCTCAAACCCCACCCTTAGGAAGGAAGTATTGATCCTCCCTCAGCATTCGCTCCGTGGCTACTCCCTTGTGCCCGCATGGTCTTCCTCCCCATGTCTTACCCAGAACATTCATCCTTTCACCCTATCCAAAAACAAATCTGATGATAAAAAGAATTAAGTACGCGGGTGAGGTTTGTCCCCAGAAGGGATGAAAAGCAGGGCTTTGGAATGCTTGTACTGGGATGGACCTCTTACCTCTTTGACCGACTGGTAAAGCCTAAAGACTCTTCCAAATATTGTTTTTAAATGCATCATATAACAGGTGAAGATTACAAAAGAAACCAAGAAGTTTGAGATAAAGGTATATATAGTTTTCCCATCCAAATACATGGACCTTCTAAAATCTATCAGCAGACCCGAGGTTAAGAGCCTCTGGAACAGGCGGTGTGATCCCAGGGAAAGAGTGTCTATCGCCACATCTGCTTTTAGGGGTCTCAGTCTTTTTTTTTCAACTTAAATGATAAAAAAGATCATTTTTCCATTCACAAAGCAGAACACATAAGAGGATTTTATGTGGAAACCCTGAATCTCCATTTCATACTGTGTTTGGAAGCACATAATAAATCCTACAGGTTACTTTCAGAACTGTCCTACTAGTGTATGCTTCCTCCTGAACCTTCTCGTATTCTCTGTAGTGCTAAATACTGGTCTCAGTCTTAGGAATCATAGGATTTTAGACCTGCAAAGCTCCTTAGAGCTAATATGGCAGAACTGGAGAAGACCATAGAACAGAGAATATGGGAAGTCAGAACAAGGAGGGATCTTAGAACAGAGAAAGTTAGACCTGGAAAGGTCCTTTGAGCTCAGCTAGTCCAAATCTGACATTTAATAAATGAGGGAACTGAAATCCACAAGGAAACGGATGACTAGAGTGACCCAACAAACTTGCAGAGAGCCGCCTTCTCTCTCTGGGCCCCCATTTTCCAACCCGTATAAAATGATGTGGTCAGACTAGATGGTCTCTCAATCCGTGTCTCTCTGTGAGCAGAGTGGGGTGAGGGAGTCACCTGAGGGGTCCTGCAGGCCCAGACAGAGGCCACCCCTCACCAGCCCTGCTCCCCAGATGCCTGTCTCTCCGGTCCAGCCAGTTTGGGGAGGGAGCTCTTGTTTGCGTCTCGCCCTCGAAACTACTGCTCCCACGCTCCCCCTCCTGCTTCTTGGGCCCCTGAAGCTTAAAACCGTAGGGTTGGCATACAGACTGGGGCCCAGGGACAGCCCCCTCCCATTTGAGATTCAGGATCCTGGGATACTGGGGTGGCAGCAACGGGCTGATTGATCATTCTCTGATGTCTGGCCTCTGAAGGCCTCTGCTGCCACTTCCTGCCCTGCGTTAATGGATCATGGATCAGAGAACCAAGCCCCTGGAGTGCTAGCCCTGCCTGGCCTCCATAACAAGTCCATGATGGGCCCCTGGGCAAGTCATTTGGCTGTTCTAGGCCCAGAGACCCCCATCTAGAAAATACACCTCTGCTCAGGAAGTTTCCCTAGCCCTCTGGAGATTAGTAACTAGTAACATTTTAAGGTTTGCAAAATGCTTTTACATATGTCGTTTAATCTCCACAAAAACTCTATGAGGTGGGTGTGGTTATATCCCCATTTTACAGAGACGGAAAGAAATGCTCAGGCAAATCACTTTAGCCCCCTTGGGCCTCAGTTTCCTCCTCTGTCAAATGAGGGGCTTGGACCAGATGTCCCTTGCAGAGCTCTGGATCAGTACTCGATGGGATAGCAGTGGGCTTGGTCTCTGCTTGGCTCCTGCCTCTTCCACCCCACCCAGTCACTTCCCAGAACCAGCTGCCCCCAGGCAGGGCTCCTGTTGTCTGGGCCAGGATTCTCCCATGTCTCTCAGATGCAATCAGAGGCCAGATCTGGTATCTCTCAGGGATGTGATGCAAGGAAAAGGGGGGACCGCCCCAGAGTGAACGCTGGGCTGGGTCGGGCTGGGCTGGGGGAGGAGAGAGTGAGGCCCTTGGGGCAGTTACTCATCTTAGGGCTCAGGTAAGAGGGCCCGGCTGGGGAGCAGAGCCGCCACTCCCTGGGAGATTCAGAAGAAGCAGGACCGAGCCACCATGGAGACAGAGAGGAGATGCAGCCCGGGGCTCCTCACAGCAAGTGTTCTACTCCTGTGCTTGCTCTGGCCAGGTGAGGTAGTGTTGCTCTGGGCAGGAGAGATGAGGAGACTGAGGTGGGAAGGAGACACCCCCTGCATCCCAGGCAGAGGATCTGGGGGTGAGCCCAGAAAGGCCCCCCACTCAACCCTGTCCAGAATTGTGAAAGTGCAGGAAAGGAGACAGTTGAGGGGCAGAGGAGAATCCTGGTACACCAGGAGAGGGGGAGTCACAGGGAAGGAAGTTTTCCCACCCCAGGGAGGGGGGCTGTGGGCGAGGGGGCCTTCATACCCCAAGGAAAGGTTGTAGCTATAGGAGATTAGGCTCCCTGGCCCTAGGGAGATTGGGACTATGCTTACATGGCAAAGGACCCTTCCACACTGGGCAGAGAGGGCTGTGTGGGCACTCCACCTGGGTCTCTCATCTAGAAAACACAGGAAAACAGGGAAGATTTTTCTAGACCAGGGAGAGGGGTTTTAAAGGCTATAACTCCATTGAAAAGGCTGCAAAAAAAAGGCTTCCCACCCCAAAGAGACTTCAAGGACCACAGGAGAGAGGGCTCTCCCCCTTTGGAGAGGGGAGATTGTGAGGAGCAGGCCCAAGGAAAGGGGTGGCCGAGAAAGGTCTTCCATCTACAGAACAAAGGGGGAGGATTGTAAGGAAGAAGTCCCGACCTCGGAGTTAGAGCCGTCAGTCAGATGGGTCTCTTAGCTCGGGGAGAGGGGCTCACCGGGATGCGGCTCTTTCATGATGGGCACAAGAACAGGGTGGAGAGGGGAAGAAGGTTCTTACAGTGGGTTTGGCCCTCCCCCAGGTGCCTCAGCTCTTAAATGCTATAGCTGCATTCAGAAAGCCGATGAAGGATGCTCCCCGGAGAAGATGAAGGTGGTGACGTGCCCCGCAGACCAGGGAGTCTGCACAGAGACTGTGGGGGCCGTGGAGACCAGTAAGTGAGGCTCCCCTGGAGGGAGGAGCTGGCACATGGAGGGTGGGTGGGAGCCGACAGCTTCAAATGAGTTCACTGGGCAAATCCAGACTCCCAGACCCAAGCCACTGTGCTGGCCGGTTTCCTTCACTGGGGTAAGTCTGAGGTCTCCTTGGCAGTGGAGGTAAGCAAGTACTCAGAGGTCTAGGGGCCTGAAGGTCATAAATCTAAGATTTGGAGATGGGCAGAGCCCCCAAGGACTTGAGAGGAAGGGGTTTCTGAGTCACCTCCTGTTTCTATTAGACTCAGCTACTTTCACTGGGGAAGGCAAGGCTTCCAAGTGGTCCAGACTCACCTAGGTTTGGCTAAGAATACATTCCCCTGAAGCTTTATCACATGGAACCTTGCCCTCCACCCCCAGACCCCTGGGCATTCAGCCCATCACTTCATTGGGCCACACTCCACAACTCCACTCCCACCTCTGACTCAGAGACCCCAGGCCCCACCCCATCTGACTGCTCCCTCCTCTGAGTCCTCCCCACTGAGCGCTCCCTTTGAGTCCCCTTCTCCAGCTCTAAACTTTTAGCCCTCCCCATTACGAGTTCTTTCCCTTCAAGCTCCCTCCCCTCTCAAACCCATGTCTGAGCCCCCTCACCTCTGAGTCCTCCCCCTCTGCATCCTCGCCCTCTGGACCCTCCCTATTCTGACCCTTCTCTTCTCTTCCCCGCCCTGGCTCTTCCCTCCAGTTCACGGGCAGTTCTCTTTGGCCATCCGAGGCTGTGGATCAGGCCTTGCAGGAAAGAATGACCGAGGGCTGGACCTGCACGGGGTCCTGGCCTTCCTGCAGCTGCAGCAGTGCGATAAGGACCTGTGTAATGCCCAGCTCAACCTTACCTCACACCCCCTGAACCCCAGCGGTAAGCCAACGGGAGTCCCAGGATTCTGGAAGGTGGGGGTGGGGCAGGAGTCCTGTTCTCTGGATTTGGAACCAGAGGATCTGGGTTCAAATTCCAACTTTGCTACTCACTAGCTGTGTGACCTTGGGCAAGTCACTTCCTTACCCTAGACCCTGGTTTCCCCCTCTAAAATGAAGAGGTTGAACTAGATGATCTCCAGGATGCAGTCCAACTCTAAATCCTACCCTTCTGTCTAAGGGCAGCCCTGGGGAAGAAACCCAGAAATGGGGGAGGGGGCTGGGGACTGAGTGGGAGACTTGGTGGGAATGTGAAAGGTGAGGCAGGACTGGTAAAGGGTAGGAGGACAGAGTCTACAAATGACAATCTCGTGATATCAACTTTGGTTCCTGACAATAGTCTGGAAGGTATCATTGAAAGGATGGTTAGTGACTCTTTAGAAAGGGAAGCAGAGATCCCAAAGAGCCAGCACAGGAACTGGTCATGCAAGACTTAACTTAATTTCATTTCTGACAGGCTTGCAAGACTGGCAGTCAGATCAAGGGATTGCAGCTGGTACAGTTGATAGGAATTTCCCCCAAGTGTGTGACGAAGGATCTCATTCAATTTTTTTTTTCCTGGAC